CTTTGACGGGGTGGGCACTGTTCAAACCATGCCCAATTCAGGAGCATAATGGTCCAAGGTTTGGGAAGGGAGACGCTGCCCAATCAGAGACTCTCCTAGCTGCAAGCTTGCTATTGAATAGTTTTTACTCAGAGTAGTAGGAATTGTGGAACAATTTTTAAAAAATAATTTCTGGCTATCATAGCTGCAGACAAATTCTAGTATAGTCTTCAAAATGCTTTGAAATGAGACATTTCCTTGTTGGGTTATGTTTTCTCTCCATGATAGAAGAACAATCTGCAGAAAGATGCTGGGACAAACTTATTCAGAACTACAAGCAGTTTAGTTAGAATCCAAAAGGCTTAATGCATTTCAGGATGCCAACAGTTGTTTGTCAGGGGAGTTACCTATATTTAGGTTTTTGGAACAGGCAAGTGGGAAAAATACCCTCTCTGCTGAACTCCAAAGAATGTACTTTCTAAATGCATCCTGTTCCCTTGACGAGGCGTTGTTTTGTTGGGAGGGGGAGGAGGGCTGATGTTCCAAGGAGAGGCTTAGTGCTCAGCTGCAGCAAGTCTCAGGCACATATGTACCCCTGTGCCACCTCTTGCAGTCCAGTGGCAATGCAGAGCTAGGGAGGAGGACCACACCCCGGGTGCCAGGTTCCTTGGGAAGCAGGGCCTAACAAGGAGAAGAGTAACACTTTCGCAGCACACTCAGCCCAGGAATGTTTCCGAGGAGCTTCAGCCAACACCAGCCTCTCACTCTTGTTTGTGGAAAATAAAATCTTTACATTCCAGGCCAAGGCTCTCGATATCAGCATGCAGAGGGTTAGGCGAAACATCCGGCATCTTTCTCTGTGCTTTCTTCCCTTTGCTGTGGCCAAGGTGATGGCAGAGGTCACCTTTGTATCAGTCTCTGAATTGCACCTGTTTGACCCAAAGCCCATGAGAACTTAGGGTTGTGGGGAGGATGGTAGCAATCCAGGCTCATTCCTTCCCTTTGCAGGGCTCTCCAGTTCCATGCCCAGAGCAGGTATCCTCTGAAGGAGGATTTCTCAGGCCTTGCACAAGGGACCTAATTGGAACCTGGCATTCAGCTCTGACAGGCTGTCCTGCTAGTGTCCTGCTTTCTCTCCAGACCCTGAAGCTGTCTTAGATACTCACCAGCTAGTCTCTGGTTATTTGTGGGGGGGCAGCCAACACAGTGCAGTGGAACAAGCCTATGACTTGGACTGGGGAAGCCCAGGGTCAGTTCACAGCTTAGCCATGACAAGACTCGCTGGTGAGCTTGAGCCAGTCCCTTTCCCTGTCCCCAACCTCTCTCTCAGGGTTCCTTTGATTCAGTGAATGAACGACAATCTTGCAAGGCACACACAACATCTAATTCAAGAGCGTAATGCGGCACCTAGCATGCCTTCTGCAATTACTACTACTACAACAACATTACATTTCATTTCTATACTGCCTGTAGATGAAACTGTCTGGGCAGTTTGCAACGTCCATCCCGATTTCAATCAGGCCCGACCCTGCTTAGCTTCCAAGAATAGGCAGGACCAAGCCCTTCAGGATATATGTGCAACTGAACATCTCTGCCTCCTTTGGCTAGTCATTTGGGCTTAAGAAAAGGAGGTGTCTAGTCTCTGAGCCTAGGTAGATAGTCTTGGACATGCAGAGCTCTCCCTGGTCAGATCTTGGATTTCCCGGTGCTCAGGGGTATGGGCTTCAGTGCCTTGCAAACTTAATCTTGTCCGTGGTTTGTTGAAGGCAGACTACAGTAAGCAACAGAAGTATAATGCCATGCACAAACTGATGCTTTTCTGGGCATGGAATTTTGGGATTTGGGGTGCAGAGTGTTCAGTTTTATGGTGTGGTAGCACAATGGTGTATGTGCGTCTTCCAGTGTGAAGCCCAAGTTTAGCCTCTGGCATTGCTGCATACAGTAGGTCTGAGACGGACCCCAGAGAGAACAGCATTGAGAACCAATGAAAGCAACAGACTAGACCAGGGTGGGGAAGCTCCGGCCTAGGTGTCACATCCTGTGCTCTGGGGTTCCTCAGATGACCACTGCCCCTTCCCCTGGACACCCGCTAAACTTTCCTTCAAACACAGGTTGTTTTGCTGGTTTCCCAGTTTTCATGCAGTTTTCTTGCAATGATAAAGAAACTGAAATGCCTCTGCTAAGGCTCAGTTACTGGCAGGAAGAACTTTCAGCTAAAAAACATTGACATGTTTTGTCTTTTTTGCCCCACCCGCCACTGGAAGATGGTCCCCAGAGCTTCTCCGAGATGGAATCCAACCTTCAAACTGAGTTTCTCCATTCCTGGGCTTGACAGTATGACTAGTTTCACATATATTTTTGTACTGTTGCACACTAGCAAATGCAAGCAGAATTAGGGAGGGACGATTCAGTGGAAAAGCAGGAAAGCTGTTGACAATCCAAGGAAATTGTGCTGGACAAGATGGGCCAATGTTCTGACTCTGCCAAAGACAGCGCCATATGGTTCAGTGGGCGATCTCTAAAGAGCCTGGGATCCTTTCCCCCTGATACTATACTAAGAGAACCCTAAAGTTTGTTTACTCAGTTGCCCTGTGCCAGTTCACTCGGTATTTCTCTTTTGAAGAGGATTCAAGACATCCCAAATTCTTATTCCAAGTCTCCTCGATATGATACACCCACATGGCTGTCGTTTGTTGCCTGAACCAGTTTTACTTTTCATGGTCTCTCTGACTGCAAATCCAAAGCCTGTTATTAAAGGCAGATGAAATCTAACAGAAGCTGCTGCCTTCAGTTCTGACGTCTTTTGTGCTGGAAGCAGAAAAGTAGCACAGCTGCATATTCTTGGCACAGGAAGAGACATCAAAGACTTGCTGGTCCAAATCCTATCCTCTCCCCCCCCCCCAACTTGGGCTCAAGAGAACTGCAGGTCTCCTGCAGTGATGATTTTTTGGGTGCACATAGCATCTTGCAACACATCTGCTGTTCAGCATGGACTCGGGGCAGGGGCAAGATGGAAAGTGCAGGCTTGTTTTTTGCATTTTTAAAGCAGGTAACCCTCTGTGCTTCAGCTGAAAGCAATGCTGCACACACTGCATCATTGCCATTACAAGATGGACTGGTTTGCCTATATTCTGCAGGAACAGGCCCCGTGTCTGCGTGCGTCCTCAGTCTTTCGCTCGCTGTGATTCAGTCGCTGCCCCTCTGCGCAGTGTCACTCTATAGTTTGCCTTCGTACTGAACCAGAATCACCCCAACAAGGGTATAGCCCAACTAGATCTTACCCTTGATCCTAATCACAGCCATGGTTTGTCGTTGCATTTGAACCAGCAAACTGGCTTACGCTAGTCCTCCAGCCTGTGGCTTTCAAATCTGATTTGAAGAGCAAGTGCAAACCACAGTTTACTAGTTCTGCTGCAATGTCAGACCCTGGTTTGACAGTTAGGCTTATGGCTCTCTGGAGAGTGCGTCAGCTGCAGCCTGCAGTGCCCCTTTGATTTGCGTGCTTTTCCTTCTCATTTCCCCTTGCCCTGCCAGAGGGTGGTTTGTGCCACCTCACAGGTGGCACACAAACAGTCATTTTGAGCCCTGGCAACCTCTAGCTTGTATCAAAACCTTGGAGTAGCCATTCAGCTTTGTAAGCCTGGCAGAGCTTCTGTAGTAGAGATGTGAAGAAACTGAGCGGGAAATCAGTAGAGACCTGTTTTAAATCAGGTCTCTGCTGTGAGCCCGCCAGGTTGGCGCGCGCACCCACACACACACGTGCATATGCGTCCATGCACCTCCATGTGCTGTACGGTTGATGCACTGGCAGAAGCGGGTGGCCTTTCTGGTCCCATGGGCCACATGTGTGCTGGGAGCGCTGGAAGTGGGTGGGCTAGGTTGGAGCCTTCTCCCCACCACTGCCCGGGCTGATCACTCCTTCCCCGCTGCTGTTGACTGGGAGGACATGTGATGTGTTGGACTCCCACACACACATCCTGGCTGCTGTCAGCTGGGCAGTGGGGAGGAGTGAATGGCCGCTCCAGGGCTCTGCAGGCACATGAAGAGTGCACAAACCACAGCTTGTCGCCATACACCTTCCAGGGTTGTTGGAAGGATTACAGTCAGATAATGCATGAGAGGCATTTTGCACATGTAGGGGCATTATGTGAGTGTGCTGCTCCTGGGTGATTCGTAGTTGTTGCATGGCTGGAGGGAACGGTTTCTTGGCTAGGCTGAGCTGGAGTTCCCTTCAGGCAAGTGACCGAGTGGCAAACAGCGTCTGCTGCCAGTCCACTGCCGACCTGCCCAGAAAACACGATGCAGTGGTGGTGCTGGCTGGGGGTGATGGGAATTGCAGTCTTACACTGGTGAACCTTCATCTGGTAGGTGAAGACTGACCTAGGGCATCATCAAACTACCTGCCCTTAACAGAAGGTGCATGTACCTGCCCATGTTAGAAGCCTTTGTTCGAACCCCACTGCATCAGTTCATTCTGTGACCTCCTCAGGCAGCTTATTCTTGATCAGCAATCCTTTCACTGCTAGGAAGTTTTTTTCTGATGTTTCCCTTAAATCTGTTTCCCTATTGTGTTCTCTCCCTCCCACCCGCCCCCATTTTTTCAGCTGGCATCACATTTCCAGGCACAAGCTCTGCTCAGGAACAGAATAAACATTGCAAAGTTCCCAGCAACCTTTTCTCCCAGCCCCATTTAGGAATTAAAAACCTCTGAGGTGTTTGTGGCATCCTACCCAAAATTACTACCTAAATCTCTTTTAGGATGTTTTTAAGGGTGGAAAGGTATTCCTTCGTTGCTCTGGGGCAGGGCTGAGAAGTTGCCTGCTTCTTTTATTGTCAAAGACAATGGCGGAATGGTGCATTTCTTTGTGGTGCTGGGAAAGGAATAGGGGAGTGGGGTATTGCGTTGGAGAAGAGAATATGATTTGGAGGTTTTCCTTGGGTGAGCGGGAACTTCCTGGTAATGATTGTTGTTGTTGCATTTATGCCCTGCCTCTTTGTGACAAGTCTTCTGTCCCTTCCAGGCCTGCATAGATGAGAACATGGAGGTGGTTGAGTTTCTGGTGGCCAACGGAGCTGATGTGAACCAGGCGGACAACGAGGGCTGGACGCCATTGCACGTTGCTGCTTCCTGTGGCTACATTGAGATTGCACAGTGAGTTCTGGGAGTGGGAGAATGTCCCCAGGCAGTGCCAGTTCGCGGGTAACTGCAGGCTTTCTCGGCTCAGGTGGTACCTTCCAGAGTGTTTGGAAAACTGTTCCCAGGCCTTCTGACCATTCACGGTGCTTGCTGGCACTGATGCATAACATCTGGAAGGTGTCAGGCTTAGTAAGGCTGGGTGCCTCTACTGACTCACAAGAGATGTGCCTTTTGCATAAAGCTATTGGACCAGGGCCTTACTTGGTGGCAATCCTAAAGCCTGTGACCTCCCCAGCACCCCAGTTATTGCTTGAACCCCTTGGGGTGTCCCAGCTGTGTAAGGAGACAGAGGTGGTTTGGCTTCTGTTTGCCCTTTTCCTGTCTCACACATTCACAAGAATGTCGCTGGGCACTACCAGTAGGCCCGCAATTTCTCTTGCTTCCTTCTCTGCAAGAGAAGTGAGGTTTGCAGCAGAGCCCCCTGTCTTGTTTCCCAGGCCAGCTCGAGTTCACCCGCCGTGTTTCCTCTCCTCCCAGTGTGGCTCTAGCCGCAGGGGACTGGCCAGGGAACAGCGCAGTAGCGTGGCTGGAGCCTGGGGAGTGAAGCAGCACCACAGTGCTTGCCTGGGGCTGGTCCAGTCCCACACGGTTTTCCTTAGAAGGCTTGGAAATGAGGGAGCGCCACCGGAGCTGGACTGCTGAGGGCTCTGAACTGAGACGCAAGGGAGGTTGGAGTGACTGTATTTGGGAGGCAGGAGCAACATCTGGTGGCCTGGCCTGACAGAAAGCCTGCAGCCAGCTCTTCTGATTCTACCGCCTTCTCCAAATCGTTGTCTCACACGTCCTTTCTGGCCTAGCCGTGCTTCAGTCCTGCCATCATCTGTGATTCACCTTCCTTTTTATAGATCGAGAAGTCCCTGTTTCATACAGGAAATACCTCCAAGGGACTTGATCCTTAACTGGAGCAGGCTGTTGTGTTTCTAGAGAAGGTCCTGTTGAGGGAGGCAGGTCTGGGTTGGGAGTGGGGGCTTTGGAAGCCAGAGGAATCGGTGGGAGGTGTACCTTGTCCGGGAACGCACAGGCTCTAAAGTGCCCAGCCGTCCTGCTGAGGCGGGAGGCCTGTTGTTGGGCTAGGCGGGCCCATGGACCTGACCCTGCGCTTCACCGTCCGGCCCAGATACCTCTTGGACCATGGTGCCAACATTGCCGCCGTGAACAGTGATGGGGACGTGCCCCTGGACATTGCCGAAGCTGACAACATGGAGGCCTTGCTGCGCTCAGAGATTGGGAAGAGAGGTAAACGGAGCCCGTGGACCCCCTCGTTGCCTCGCGTAGGGCCAGTGCCTCCCTGCTTCTCCCCAGACCCTCTTGCTCGCAGCCAGTGGGCCCTCTGGGGCTTGCCAGGCCTCTCCAACCAGCCTCCCTCCAGCTTGCTGGCTTTACCTTCCCACCTCACTTTGTTGATCGTGGCGGTACAGGAAGGTTACAGGGTCAAACATGAATGTTTTAGTGAAACGGTAATTGGAAATTTGTAAGTTGCAATTGGCAGCCCATCATACTGTTCTCAACCCAGTGTTTTCTCTGGGCAAAATAAAAGGCTGATCTCAGACATACTAGGAAATTCCCCTGCCCAGTTACCAGAGGAGGGTTAAACTAATATTAAAATTCTTTCCCAAAGTGATTTGCATGAATTCTGCAAAGATGCATGTGTTTGTTGTTGTGTATAAATTATCCTGCGTCTAAACCCAGTGAAGCTGAAGGGGCTCTATAGGGAATGCACATTTTCTAACAGTGGAATTATAGAAAATCTGTCATGGTCTCAGCAGGCATTCTTGGAGTTTTCCTAAAAACAGTAATGAGAAGAAGAAAAATAATGGTTAGAAAAGCTTTACAAGTATCCTGTTTCCAGGATTTCACAGCATTGTTAAAGAAGCTGTACTGATTTACTGCTGCATTTGCATCTTGCTTTGCAGTTAGTTATAGTCTCTTAATGGCGGCGGGGGGGGGGGGGGGGGGGGGTCCCACCACCTGGCTGCCAGGCTAGAATGACCCAGGGAAAGGGGAATGGGGAAGAAGGCAGAAGGGAGTCAGTCCCTCAAGGCCCGGGCAAGGTGGTGACCTGTAAGCAGGCCTTGACGTGCGCTTTGGGCCAGGCTGGCCTCCCGCTGCGGCTCTTCCTGCTTAGGAGAGGCTCTGGTTCTGGGGGCAAGGGTGGTGCATGCTGCCCTCTCCCGCCAGCAGTCAGTTGCAGAGCAGCCGCGCAGGCGTCTGCACCACTCATCCTTCGCTCCCTCGTGGTGATCTCTCTTTCCAGGGGTAGATATAGAGGTAGCCAAGCGAGAGGAGGAGGAGGTGATGCTCCGTGATGCGCGCCAGTGGCTGAATGCCGGCAAGATCTCTGATGAGCCACATCACAAAACCGGGGCCACCGCCCTGCATGTTGCAGCTGCCAAAGGCTACGTCGAGGTCATGAGGTGAGGGGCTGGTTTTGTGGCCCGTTCCCTGAGCCATTCCAAGGGTAGATAACACCCCCCTCTCGCCTCACTCTTGGGCAAATCAACCTGCCGAGTAAGGAATGGGATCCTTCGCCCTACTTCCTCCGATTCAGTCTAGAGCAATTCTCTAGACTGAGGTACGATGTTAAAGGCAGTTGGCGCACTGAGGTCCTCACGATGGCTGCCAAGTCATGCCACAGATCTTTTTTTGCCTCAACAGGTTTGGGAACTTGCCATACCCACCTCCCACATCCCCTTGCCCAGCCCTGGGTAATTGCATCACTGCTTCTTTCTCTGGGTGTCGAGTGTGTTTGGGGTCTGGTTCCCAGATTCCATCTTTCTCGCCAAACATCCCCAAGCACAGGCGGGGCTTTGGGAAAAGCGTAGGCCAAGGAGGTGTCGTTCTGCACCTTGGCTGCCTCTTAGTGCCTTGGAGCAAAGAGGCGCATCCAGGCCTTTCCTCCTTTGGCCACCTCGTGCCCTCTCCTCTGTGCAACCAAAAGGGCCTCAGGAGTTGCGGCAGGCCCCACCTACGCCACCCCTCCAGCTCATTTTATCACCTTTGCCTCCCAAAGAACTTGAGGTCCCAGTTCATACCTTTCCATACCCATTCCTATTTCCTGCACTGAGCCAGGCTTGTGGGCACTCAGAAGGGTTTGGGCAGCTCTGTCAGAACCCATCTCATAAGGCAGGGATTAGCAGAATGTAGCCCCCCCACGTATGGGATTTCAGCTCCCAGAGCCCTGTGCCAGCATAGCCGAAAGCCAGGAATGCTGTGAGCTGGGCATCCAAGGCATTCAGAGACCTCCGTCCTGCCCACCCCTGCTCTAACCCATCAGACTCTGCCTCTCCCCTCTCAATGTAGGACCAGTGCTTCTCCAACCTGGTTCTCTTCGCCCACGAGCAGAGGGTTCCCTGGCACCCTGTCACTGCCTTCTCTTATTCCATTATAGGCTGCTCTTGCAAGCTGGCTATGACCCCAATGTCCAAGATAAAGATGGCTGGACTCCCCTGCATGCGGCGGCACACTGGGGAGTGGAGGAGGCCTGTCGCCTTCTGGCTGAGCACTTCTGTGACATGGAGGCACTCAACAATGTGGTGAGAGCGAGGGATGGGCAGCCATGGGTGGGTAGGAAACAGTAATGCTCTGGCATCTCCGACTGAGAGCTTGGAGAGGACTCTTCCCTGCCTGAGGCATTGGAAAGGCCCTGCCTGTCAGGGTTGGCATGCTGGACAGAATGGGCCGGTCGTCCTGTTCTGTAAGGCAGCTTCGTATGTTTGTAAACATCATGCTTGAGAGTGAAAGGGTGGCAACATGTGGGTGAGCATCATTCCCCACCCCTCCATGACAGAAATCTTAGGGTGCGATCCTATACATACTATGCGAGGGAAAAGAGTCCTACATCTCCCAGCATGCCCTAGGCAGCCATATTGGCTGGGTCTTGCTGGGAGGTGTAGGGCTTTTTTCTTTCTAAACATCGATAGAATTGCACTGTTAATGGAATAATCAAACTGTAGTCAATCAATTGTATGTAGCAACTGTATCAATTACATACAATATGAATCTGCATATGATAAAAGCAGTAGTTTTATAAGGGAAGCTGACTTTGGTTTTGGATGGAGTGCTTATATATCACATGAAGGCCCATTCCTGCAGGAGCTGAAGGAAGAATGCCTTGTCTAGGATGCTGCCCATTTCCTGCTGTGCAGGCTACGAATGGCGAGGGGTGTAGTGCAATATGTCAGGAGGATTAATTGGAAATGCTTTTTAAGTAATGTGAACAGTTCTTTTAACTGATGAGTCTGTTCAGTCAAGCATTTAAAGTTGCAACCATAAAGAGAAAAGCCCAAATGGTCAAAGGCGTGTGTTTGCGCACATGCGTGCGGAAGGGGGAATCTGAAGCTGCTAATTGGAGACACAAATAGATGCTCACAGATCCTGCAGAAAGGCTAGGGAGAGCTCAGGGTTCTGGGGGTGGGGGACCCTTGGGCTGATGCAGGACGGTGAAGGGTGCTGGCAAAGCTGAATGTCCTGAAATAGCTGTGGGTTCGTGTCTGTCTGTCCGTCTGGTTTTTTTTTTTTTTTGAAAGCCCCTCGCCATCTCCTTTTGCTGCACTTCTGGTCTTTTTGAGTAGGAGCTACTCCTACAAATGGTTTGCTCTTCCTTCCTCAAAATAGCAGTCGGAATCAGAAGAGCCGCAGCCTGGCGGGTGGCAACTCTAGAAATAAGAGAGGCCCTCCGTGTTGTTTTCTTCAGTAGGAGGATGTGTTTGATGGCAGGAGAGTTGGCGGCTCAAAAGATGTACAGTTACGCCAGAAAGGAGCTGCTGCGCCTGTTGTGTTCCCCGCCTTTATTCTTCTGAGTACTGAAGCTTTGAGGCAGCTGTGATAGGAGCCCCTTCAAGCCATCCGTTTTCTCCCCACTCTAGGGGCAGCGTCCCTGTGATCTTGCCGATGAGGATACCTTGGTCCTACTTGAGGAGCTGCAGCGCAAGCAAAATGATGTGAGTCACTTTTTCTTACTCCCTCCAAGCAGTAGATGAAAATACCTGTGATGCACCCTTGCATCTAGGAAAAAAGCCTATGACACCTGGTTCCTTCGGTGTGGTGCACAGCGGCACCCGCGGGCCTTGTTTCCGGAGGGAATTTCCTCCAGGAAAGCTTCTAGGTGCTAATTTGGGCAGTTCGGCTGAAAGAGGTGCATTTAGGCAAACTGGAGACGGGGCCTCTTCAGTGGTACCCCCCTCCCCACACACACCCCATTTATAGAAATACATCTGTGGTGATGCACAGCTGTCTATGCCTTTGGAGGCTCATCCATTTCAGATTGATTTTAGTACCTATGCTGGCCCTGGGTTATTATACATGGTTTTTTTCTTGCTGGTTTTGCTCTATGCCTCATGATTGATTAGTCCTAGAGGTTGCTTGACTGAACTTAAGATGTTAAATTATAGCTTCTTATTAAAATTATGTGTTAATCATGTTTCTGTTTTTGTGTAAGCCAGCATCAGAAGGTTTTTTCCCCTGAAAGACAGCTTAAAATATAGGTATGAATGAATATATCCTTGAATGGATGTTTGCACTGAGAAAAGTGCATATACCAACATTGCCCTCCCTCCCTCTCTCTCCCTCTCCCACTTCATGTGTGTGTGTGTGTGTGCGTGCACGCGCACGCCCATGCCTCAAGAGTCGAGCATGTCAAAATGGGATGTATGGCAAGTGTTCTTGGGTCAAAAAGCCCATCTCCTTGTTGTTTTTCATTGGGCATGCCATCATGGCTCTAACAGCTTTCCACCGTCAGAAATCAGGCAAGGACTGTCCAGAGAAAGGTCATTTTCTGAGGGGGCATCAGGCTGCAGGCCGCATTCCCAGAGCATTTCTTGGCCTGAAGAGTCCTCCGTGCCAGTTCATGACTTGTTCTCACCCAGGCATTTAACAATCGGTTGCCATTTAGGGTTGTCCGGGGCTTTATGATGATTGCCTTAACTGGTGCTTGTCATCATTTTGTAATTTTTAGTACTTAGTGTGTTTTAATTTCTAAAATTTCATAGGCGTGGTGCTGTGCCTCTTTAAATCATCAGAAGCCACACTGAGAAGTTTTAATTAATGAGGAGGGGCACCCATTTCTTTTAAAACCTTGAGCTAAAGAAAAAAACATAATCCAGTACCAAGGAAAGTTAATTTCTGAGGCTCACATGCAAGCTATACAAATCAAGCAGCAGTGTGCATTTGGTCTGAGTGATTGCTCCTGCAGCTCAGGGGAGCAGGGGTGACTTTTTTGTCCCCCGGTGCCGCCGCTTCTTGGTTGAATGTTTTTGTTTGAGACAAAACACTGCAGGTGGTGAGCACTCCGTCCGGACTGCGCTTTTCACGTTCCCTTTTTCCACGGCGCTCCTGCATTCCCAAGAACAGCAAGCGTAGTGCAGTAAAGGTGATGCCCTCCACCCGGTCCTGTGGCGTAAGGTCAGGGAGAGAGGCAGGCTGCCTGTCAACTTAATTTGAGCTCAGCCAGCGAGGGCTGCATTTCTGAAACTGCAGGGTGGGCCTGTCCGAGGCAGCTTTTGCTGGGGAAGCCCACATGTCTGTCTCTTCATCTGCTCCAGGAAGCTTGGGCGGAGATGCAAAAGACTTTGTCCCCAAGAGGAGAAGAGCAGCAAAAGGCTTCCCTCCCACCTGTCAGCTTCACACTCTTCCCAGCTGTGGGCTGAAAGCAGGTCGGCCTCAAGGTCCTTTGAGGAGGGGGGAGCCTCAAGAGTGCGCTTGCTCTCTCTCGCCTGCGTTCTCTCTCTCATTCCCTCCCTCTTTCAGTTGACTGTGGGAGTTTTCCTGTGAGAACCAGATTTGAGAGAGCTGGGCTGTGACCCAGAAAGAGGGAAGAAACAACCTGTCCCCCAGTGAAAGCCCTGCTCACCCAGGCTGCATGTGAAACAGCCAAAATGATTAAGGGGCCAGAGCACCTTCCCTGTAAGGAAAGGTCTGGAAATGCTCAAGGGTGTGGAACATCCTGGCCTGTGCAAGGAGTGGTGGAATGAGACGGGGAAGGGACAGCAAGGATGCTTCAGATCCTGCACTGTGTGGAGAAAACAGCCAGAGGCAGGAGTTTGGAGTTTTTTCTGCCTGATGAAATTGATAGGCAGGAGATTCAGTGTGGACTGTCAGTACTTCACATAGTTCCTACTTTACTTAAGCATGTTTAAACAAAAAAAGAAAAATCCTACAACTTCCAGCATTCCACATTTGGCTGGGGAATGCTGGGAATTGTAGGACTTTCTCTCCCCCCCCCCCACATCTAAACATGCTTTGGACTGCACTCAGAGAGATGTTATAATCCAAAATATGTGGTAATGGCCACCAGCTTGGGTGGCTTTAAGAGGATTAGATAACCCCATGGAGGGCCAATTCTGTGAGGTGCTGCAATTCATGAATATTGTATTCTCCTGCCTTGACATGGAGTGGCAATCGTGCAATGCACATCAGTAGCTGCAGGAAAAAAATAGTACCTTCCCACCCTTTTTGTGGCAATTGGTAATTAGAAAAATATAATAAAAGAAGCACGTTTTTCAGCTACTCAGAAGTACCTGGCTGGCCAGGGGTGTGAAGCAGGGTGCTGTCCAGGATGGACTGTGCTTCTCCAGCAAAGCTCTCTGTGCTCTTTGACCATCTGTGTGAAGCCCCCCACCCCGTCTTGTCCTTGTCAGTGTCAGGCACAACGTGACTATCCTGCTCCTTTGGGGCCGTGCTTGGAGCAACTTTTAAATGCTGGCAGTGGGCATGTCCATGCCAGTCTTTCCCAGCTGCTCTCCCGCATTGATACTATTCCTACGACCCCCTCAGTGCAGATTTCATCCGCTGCTGCTGGCCCCTACTTCGCAGTCCTGTGAAGAAAGTGGCAGCCCTGATGCAGGATTTCTAGAGCTGTCTCATGCGGGAGGCCATAGCTAGATGGACTGAGATGGGGGCTCAGTTCACACAACCATATGCTGTCTCATATCTCTGGCTCTGCAAGGAATAAAGGGTTCCTTTCTAAAAAGAGTGAAAGCTAGGGAGCTGTGCCACTTAATGTTGCAAACAGGCTTTGGGTAGCATGACTAGGACCCAGGCAAAGCCCAGCCAGCCAGGCACCGTGGCATCTTGTATCCCCTCAGAGCCAGGGCTCACTATTTTGCCTCCTCCTTGGGACAGACCCGCCTGTGCTTTGTATCTTCCTGTAGCATCTCCCTCGTCTGGCTGTCTGGGTTCTCCTCTCCTCTCTCCAGCATTTGCCCTTTGTGCAGGCCTAGCCAGCTTCCAGTTTGCCACATCTTTGCCAGATACCCAACCCTTTGGCATACAAATCCATATTATCAGTGGTAGAACCCCTGCTTTGCATGGAAAATGGTTCCAGGCTCATTCCCCAACTGCTCCAGGCAGGGCCAGGAAAGAATCCTGCATCAGTCTTGGCAGTAGTAGGCTAGGGGGAGCAAGGGTGGAACTTGCTGGAAGGCAGCTGCCTATGTTTCTATCCGCTTCTCCTGGTAAAATCTCTTCTCTGCTCAGTGTTGCTCCACTGTTCCCTTGCCAAAGGAAATGAGGGTTTGACCTCCTCTCTCTCTACCTTTCAGCTGCGCAGCAAGAAAGAAGCACACCTGAGACAGGCTGTGATTGACACCAGCTTGGAGCAGCCAGCATCCTATACCACCAAGCACCGAAGGTGAGTAGTGGCACCACCTAACTGAGGTGCCTGACCCCGAATATGAAGACAGCCCTTGCTTGCAGCCACTCGGGCTGTTTTCCCAAGAGGCCGTGGCCCTTAATCTAGGATGTGGTGTGTGATTGCACACTAGGTTACAGAATATGACAGCAGACAGAAAGGAAGCCATCTTCTTCACCACCAAATGTAAGTTGCAGGACAGGTTTACAGAGAAGTCTCTATTTGGTGTACAGCAAGTTTGGCAGCCCAGCTTGCTACTGAGATGTTTATAGCTACAAATTACAGCTGTCAGGTTGGGCTTTCCAAATGTTTGTGGTTGCATGTCAGGCCTGTACAGATTACAGCTGTCTGTCATCCCATAAACATTGGCAGGAAAGGAAACCCACCTCTTAGAAGAAATCGTGAGTTAACTTGTGTAAGATCATCTTGGACAGGCAGATCGTTGTGAGGCATCGCTAGAGGCTACCTCAGGTTTTAACGCAAGGCAGCTCATGCTTGCTCGAGCCTGGAGACATTGCGCCAGCTTGTATTGCCGTATGTGCAGTTCAAATGTGTGAAGACCAAGGTATGTCGGTGTACTCCCGACACCCCACGCCGAGTTGCGGCTGGGGCGAGGTTACTGTTGTCCTGCCACACGTACCGTATTTCCAGAATGAGGCGCGTGTGAACAAGCCCTCTGGGGACATGTTGGCCGACAGAATGTTCAGTGGTGTGAAAGTCAAATTTCAGTGCAGGCTGCATGTCGTTGCAAGAACAAGTTGTGTTAGCTCAGCGGGTCTGCAGTTATCCATGTAAGTAACAAGAATTCCATCTATAGGGAGCCTGTCACTGGAGTCGTACCCAGGCTTAAACCACTTCAGCAGAAGATGCCAGCCAAGAAACATGGCACCAGTAGACCCTGCCTGTCTCAACAGATATTAGCTTGAACACTGATGGGAAATGGGTTGTCGGGGGTGGAAGAACAAGGGAAATTCTCCAGACATCTCTTCAAAGCTCAGTTTGGGTCACTCCCATTCTTGTGTCCTGGTCTGGCTTGACTTGGCTTGGTTTGGTTGCTTTGCACGTGATGAGTGTTCACTTCCTTCCTCCTCACCATCTCAAGTGTGAGAATGCTATTTTTTAAGAAGCATGCAAATTCAGTATTTGGTGAGGATATGCTCCTGTTCAGTGAATAAATGCTCTTGGGCATATTCAGGGCTGGGACATTTTTGAGTGATTTGTGAATCAAAACCGAATTCTCACACATCCCTCGATTGTTGGCCGTCCTGGAGTTCCCCACCCTGCAGCCCCTCCCCTGACCACCACCATTTTGGCCTGTGTGCTCATGAGATTGGTTTTGTTAAAGATAAGTGCACCAGGTGGAGCAAGCTGGGCTGTTCCCATCAGCCTCCTTTTTCACCCTCCTCCTCTGCCCCTTGCAGGAGTTCTGTATGCCGCATGAGCAGCAAAGAGAAAATCTCCGTCCAGGATCAGTCGAAGGAGCGCAAGACCTTGGGCACCATCACTGTTGGCGAGGAGGAATCCAGTTCGGCCTCAGAGGGGGAGGAAGCGCCAAACCCCAGTGGTAAGCGAAGCTGTGTGGTGGGCCGTGGCCATCAGCTGCCCCAGAGTGAAGGGCTCTGCTTAATGAGTTGGGTCAGTTGTCCCCAGCACAGCACCCCCCAGCTCTGTTGGACAGCAACTACCAGCAGCCCCAGCCAGCAGCTCCATGTTGGGTTTTCTGACTGGACGGGAGGATTGCGATCCAGCAATCCCCGACGGGCACTGTGTTGGGGAAGGCTTGAGTAGATGCTGCCTGCTTCCTGTCTTCCCCTTGCAGAGGTGAAGATCAACCCCCCAACGGACAACAGTGCGGTGAATGGTGTTGCTGTCACCCCCATCAGTCCGCTGTCCCCCAGTCCTGTGGGGCAGAAGGTGAGGCACTGCTTCTCTGCGTTAGGTGGCCAGGGGTGAAAAGGCAAAGCAAGTGGCAGCAAGAACTCCCAGCCTTCCTCTGCTGCCCACTCCATGGTTGCAGTGGGGGTCTTGGTGCAACAGCTACACCTTCCGGCTTCCCATTAAAACCCAAGCCCTGCGTGCACCCCCATGCCAGCCTCTGTTTAAGAGTGGAGGGCAGTAAGCCCTTGCGCCTTCTTGTGTGGGAGATCCAGTTGCTTCTTGCTCAGCCTTGGGTCATTGTGGCCAATGGACAGGGTGTTCCAGGCCTCATAGAAGCTCTCATGCACTCCGATCTTCCCTGGTATTCACGTAAGACTGGAGCTTGGTCTCCATATGATGAAGCAGACTGTATGACTTCAGACTGAATTTTTAGTTTGTCTCTGTGATTCCCTGCAAGTTTAAAAAAAATAAATGAGAAGGGAGTGGGGAAAAGCAAAAACATTTCTTCCCAATGTGCTTGGGTTTTTGTTGTTTGTTTCCAGTGCTATTTTTTCTTCAAAGCAGGTGTGTATTTGCAAATAGTGCCTTCACTGACAGTCAGACATGGTTCACTCTATTCAGCCACTTCAGTGAAACCCCCCTCCCTCTTTTCCATGCCTGGTTCAGGCCTAAATGTCCGGCCTCGACTTACCTGTCATGGTTAGTCTCAATTTTAACTACTTAGCAGTGCTTTTCTTCAGAGGAGGTACACAGGAATCTGCTAGGTTTAAATTTGGGAAAAGTGTGTCTTGGGAGTCAGACATCCTCTTAGAGCACCAATGAGCCGTAAACCACAATCCTCTCCTTGGCACAGCTGGCTTGTTAAGGACCAGCTTCACCCTAGAGGTGTCGTCTTTCCTGCCCGCTCTCCCCGCAGCCTGCTATTGGCAAATCCTCACAGAATGCCTTCTCTCTGCAGCATGTACTGAATTCATGTTATAACTCTCCTTCATCTTGCATGCTTGATTAACCAATTGTTGCTTGCATCTGCCTTGTGGCGTGGGTTGATCCTTGGGATGCTGGCATAGAAGACTCTGGACATAGCCCTGTAGCAAGGTAGGCAACCCAGAGCGAGCTGCAGTGGTCCTGCTTTTTGGTTCTTTTCTGGTTTGTGCAAGCGAAACGCCCCACCGTGACTTACCAGAGCTTGGGGGTCGACGGCATGTGCCAAGCAGGATTTGCATTTTCATTGCCAGCTGCAAGTTGCTGTGTTGAACTGGCGGTGCTGCGAGCGTTGAACAACAGGGGTTCACCGCTGGGCAGTGAATATTCAGAATAGGCACCGGCATGCACCCCAGCCCACCAAGGCTTGGACCAGCTGGGCAGTCATGCAAACCAGCCCTCTAACTCCATTCCGATGCCTGGCCAGCCATCCTTTCTGCCGCATGTCATTTCTGTCTGCATTGTGTGAAATACTTTGCACTTTTTTGTTTCCTTCTATTTTTTTCCTCTTCTCATATTTCCGCCTGTGCCTTCTGTCCACTGTTGCCTTTGCTGTGGGTGCCACTGTTGTCCCCCCCTCCGCCCCCCCTCCTGATTTGCTCTTCCCACCCACTGGCTTCAGCCTCCATTCACCTTCATCACCCCAGTGCTGCCCATCCCCAGCCCTCTGGGCCCATCCATGTGGAGGCAAAGTCTGCGCAAAACAGGGATCATCCTGGTGCCCCAAAGGGGAGAAAAAGCCACAGTGAGTATGATGTGAAGGAGAGAGGAAGAAGCATGTCCTTGTGGTGTGCATTTATTTGTCCTTTGCCCCTCATTAATGGCCCAGTGAAACCCCTTCAAACCCACCCATCTGCAACTCTTACTGTGTGAGTCACTGACTTGAGTTTGGAGCAGAAGGTTGGCAGTTTTGGACTGCAGCCACGGTGGCTGAAGTTTGTGGGAGTTGCAGTCCAAAATATCAACCAGGCTTCTGCTTTGCCTACCCCTGTTTAGAGTGATTTCAATCCAGTTGCCAGGATGGTTAGGCTGAACCCCTGATTCTCTGCTCTCAGCTGATCATTTTTTCTGATGTTGATAGTCTCTGGCAACCCCCTTCTTACTGCTGTATTTCCTAATGCTGCTTTGTCTGTGAGAAACAGTGACTCTCTCATGGGCTGTTTACATACCAGGATAGGAAGATTCCTCATGTGTCTGTTTGGCTGATGTATGAAATAGATTACCCTGCTAGACAGACAGTTGGTCTAAACCAGTAGATCAGCTGATGCTCTGTAGCTTCCCCCTGAATGCAGTCCTGTGAGGGGTTTGGTGCATTTTCTGTACACATAAGAATGCCGGAATTTGGGGAAAGAAGAGAGGACAAGGAAGATGGTTAGTGCCCAGAGGCTTTTAACTTGTGTCACAGGGACCTAGTGGCTTCCTGCAGTGGTGGCCACTGGGATCCTGCAGTATTGGGAGTAAGACCTCACAGGATATAGGGAGTTGTAGACCTGAATGATAAGGGGTGTGCATTTGTGTCTGCTTGCATGGGATGGAGGGCCCTGGCAGCCAAGAGGAAGGCTGTGAAGGAGGAGGTGGTGTGGAATGTTGCTAAAAGGGCGACCGTCCAAAGGTCCATCATAGGGGAAGTCGATGCAAACCTCTCAGAGCGCTGCAGCTTCCTGAGCAAGTTTCCATTCTAAAGAGGCGGTTTTCCAGCCTGCTCTCACCTGCTGTGACCTCTGCCTTGACAGCCTTCCAGAATTCCGCAGCTACGATGCATGATGTGAATCCTGGCAGCCCCGCTTGTCTAATGTGTTGGCTGTTTTTGTGTTGGAATGTCAAATCGGCAGAGACCCTGAGAAGGGAGTGCAGGACAGCCCCATTTCAAAGAGGGGCTAGTCTTTGTGGAAGTAGGATGTGGTCTCCAGCAAGACATTTATCATGGCTCCATGCTGTGGTTGCCCTTAGACAACCTTGGATGAAATATTGCTCCTTCATCCCAGGCAAACGTTCATTTCCGCATCATTTTGGAGTGCCTGTTTCTTAAATGTGCCTGGTGGATTTGGCCTGAGAATGTGGGAAGGCTACAGTCCTGTATGCTTTCTCTTCTTAACAAGCCAGGATTCAGCCCCAGAACCTACCCCAGGGCCAAGACCTTATCCTGAAATATATGAAATAGGAATCAAGCCCTTCTGAGCTTGCATAGATTAGCCATAATCCATGACAGCCTCCAAATAGCTGAGATGGGATTTTTGTGGAGCTTGACTTCTGTTAGTTTGACCTCTTCTCAAAATATTTTAGGAAGGCAACAGATGCCATAGGTTGTGAATTCTGAGCGCATTCCCACCTTTGCATTTAAATTTGACACCCTGCTTCCTATACAGAGAACCTCAGGCAGAATCATTCTGTCCAAGATGCCTGCGCAGCACTACGCACCGTTACAACCTGAGCTATTCTCTGTTCCCATGTGGTGATTTTTATATCTCACAAGAGAAATCTGAAGGCCTCCCGGTTTGTTGGATAGTTTGAACTGTTTCTGTACTGTTTGATATCCCAAGATTTCCAAGCAGTGTATATAAAAACACTATCTGTGTTAGTTACGTGCCATCAAGTCAGAGCAAAACAACAGTGGACCTAGCTGCCTAGAGAGGCTCCCCCACACTAGAGACATTCAAAAAGAAACTGGGCAGCCATCTGAGCGGGATGGTGTAACTGGGTGTCCTGCAACAGCAGGGGTTGGACCCTTCCAACTCTACTATTCTAAGATTCTCTAAGTCATCCCAATCTTATGGCAACCCTATGAATGAACGCCCTCAAATGTTCTGTCCATGGCAGCCCTGCTGCTTTACGGAATTGATCCATCTCATAGTTGTTCCTCCCCTTCTTATGCCTTCGATTTCCCAAGCATGATTGTCTTCTCCGGTGGGACTTGCCTTCTCGTAACGTGCATGAAGTAGGACAGCTTCAGTCTCATCATTTTTGCTTTTAGGGAAAGTTCTGGCTTGATTTGATCTAGGTCCCATTTGTTTGCCTCTCTGTTGGTCCAGGGTATTCTCTCCAGGCTCCATGTTCCGATGCGTCAGTTTTCTTTCTCTTGGCCTTCTTCACTGTTCAGATTTCACTGCTGTACATAGTGATTGGGAATACAATAGTTTGGATGAGCTTGATCTTGGTCTCTAATGAAACTTCCTTATATTAGTGAACTTTTCTCATTCCTTCATTGCTGCCTTTCCAAATCTCAATCTTCTTCTAATTTCCTGGATGTGGTTGGTCTCACTTTGATTTGATAATTGAGCCAAGGTATGCAAAATCTTTCATAATTACAATTTCTGCACTGTTGACCCAAAAGTTGTGTAATTCTTTTATAGTCATTATTTTTGTTTTCTTAATATTTAGCTGCAGTTCTGTTTTTGCACTCCCTTTCACTTTCATCCGGAGTTCTTTCATGTCATTGCTGCTTCTGCCAGTAAGATGGTTTCATCTGCATCTTCCAAAAATTCTCACTCCTTCCTCTGATCCTAATCCAGTTTTCCTTACAATATGTTCTGTGTACAGATTGAAACAGAGACATAAAATGTACTCTTGTCTGATGCCTTTGTCTATAGGAAACCATTCTGTTTCTCCATATTTTATCATAACAGTGGCTTCTTGCCCAAAATACAATTTACACATCAGGACAATCAAATGCTGAGGCACACCTGCTTCTTCCAGGACCATCTGTAGCTTCTCATAAGCCACACAGTCAACGTCTTTACTGTAGTCTATAAAGCATAGGCTGATCTTCTGAAATTCTTTGGTGTGCTCCAAGTAACCAACTTTTATTTGCAATATGATCTCAATTGCCTCTTGCTTTATGGAATCCAGCTTGAAGGTCAGGCATTTCTTGTTCCATAGAGGGTAAAATTCTTTGCTGCAACACCTTTAGCATCACTTGCTTGTATGTGAAATTAGCGCAATGTTCCTACAGTTGCTGCACTCCCTGGCATCTGTATATTGAACACTTCCTGTCTATGGGCCGTTGTTTTGTTTTCCATGTTTGTTGACATATTTTTATACGAATTTTGAGTGATTCAGTCTCTGCAGCTAGTTCTGATGGTATCCACTCTACTCTGGGTGCTTTATTTTCTTCCACTTGTTTTCAGAGCAGCTTTCACTTCACTTGCTAATATTGCAGGTTCTTCTCAGAGTCATCTTTGAAAGAATCTGTCTTCTTTTTATCTGTCCTATCTTGTTTTCCTGTATATTATTTCCACCTTTTCTTTATCTTCCCCTCATTTGATAGTATGTCCCCCTCTTGGTCTTTCAGCATTCCTAATCTAAGATTGAATTTCCCTTTGCTTTCTGGGCTCTTCTGGAACCGTCCTATTTTTCATCTTTTGTTGTTCTCTTCTACTTCTTTGCATTACTATTTATAATAGAGCATTTGTCTGTCTGTTTTGGTCCCTATGTGATAAACACTGAGAATTTGCATTCAGGAGTATCCCTTATTTACTCCAGGGTGACTTCTTTTCTTTTATATCTTTTATATTTTTATGTATGTTATATTATTAATTTTAATTTTATATTGTTATTTTTGTATTGTGTTGTAAGCCACCCCAAGGCTTCGGCAAGGGGCGGCATAGAAATGTTCTAATAATAATAATAAAATAATAATATTTCAGTCACTTTCTGTATTTGCTTCTCATCTGAACCGCTTGTGTTTCCTCCGTCATCCATCTAGGCTTTTTGGTGATGTCTGTGTGCACAGTCATTTGATTGGCTGCTTGAAGTTTGTAATAACCATTTGCAATAAACGGATGGCTGGCTTCCCAAAATTCTATGAGCCATTCGCCTACTTGTTTCTAACTGTTAGGTCAAATTCTCCCACAACATTATGTGCTTTATCTCCTCATTTGGTGTTCCAGTCACCTATAGTGATCAGCAAGTCATGTTTATCAATTTCCTCTTGTACCCTTGCATAAAAGTTTTCTATTTTTTCTTCTTCTTCAGCATCTGTTGTGGGAGCATAGACTTAAATGATGGTTATGTTGATAGGTTTTCTGAGAATTCTGATGTATATGTTTCAGTTTCCCTTTGCCTTATAGCTCCTTCCCACCTGAACTACATTTTGCCACCCCATTTCTTCTGAGTTTCTCATCTCCAGTGTAAAACACTTCGTGTTTGCCTGCCTGCAATGTCCCTTGCCTGTCCATCTCAGGTCACTCACTCCAAGCACTGCAACACTTAACTGTTCCATTTCTTGCCATACGGTTTCTCGCTTGCCTCGATTCGTACTTCCCACATTCTGTGTTCCAGTGGCGTGTGTGCTGCCACATCAGACTTTCCTTTTGCCTCGGTGCACCAGGCTTCCTTTTGGCCTTGACCTAGCTGCGTCACCAGCAACGGGGCGCTATTTGTACTTGTCCTTTGCTCTTCCCCGGTAGCTGGTCGAGTGCCTTCCAAGCTGGGAGTCTCATCTTTTGGCACAATCGCTTGTTTATTTTGGATTGTTTCCTCATATGGCTTTCACGGTAAGAAAATTCAGAAGTGCCTCCCGAATGCTGCCAGAGTTCCTCTGAGCTTCCCTGTCTGACCTGTGAAAGATCCTTCGCCAGTGCCGCCTTCAACCACTGCTGCGGCCCAGTAGCTGCCCTTCAGGGATTTCTCTGCCCCCCATCGGCATTAAAGATAGCCACTCCCTCCTGCTGATGCAGCTGGTCCTCCTGAAGACCCGCCTGGTGTCTCTGCTTGGCCATTCCCTGCTAGGCGACCAGCCTAGCGAAGGGGCCTGGCCTCCAGGTGGTGTTGCTCTGGGCTTTTCTGACGCTCTGACACCTCCTCACAGCATGAGGTATGCGTTCAAGAATAAAAGTGCATACATTGCGATACAGTATAAAAGCAGCGTACACCATCTTAAAAAATCACGTCAGACACGATAAAGCGGAGCGATATTAAGACCGGTTACAGGTCAGGGAAAGCCCGGGGGAAGTGTGTTTTCAAGAGGATGCCGCAGCCCAGCACAGTCTCCTGCTTTCAAGCAGCTTTTGGGAGAACATTTCAGAGCATGGATGCTACCACCAGTGAGGCCTGCTGGTACCTGACAACACACTGCTGGTTGTACGACCCCTAATAAGGCTCCTTGGAAGATTTCAGGAGGTGGGCATAGGGAAGGGGGTCGGTGTGATATCCTGGCCCCACAGTGTTTACCAAGAGCCCCTTCTCCTATTGCTGAGGTCAAAAGCTTCAGCCATTGGGGGATGAAAGGCTTTGGGGAGTTTGTACTTCTCTGCTAGTCTCCAGGGTACTCTTCCCCTCGCAGAAGCAAGAGTCCCGCCCTGCAGCTGTTCCTGCTCGCTTGCTGCCTTTCTAGGGAGCCAGCAGCTCCTGGTTGCAGGTCTGAACACCCCTGTATAGTCCTGCCCGGTTATCCCCCTTGTTCACTCCAGCATCATTGCTCCAAGTTAGAAGCTCCCTTCATCCATCCTGACTCCCCTTCCTTCCTCTTCTCCCCACTTCCTCCACGTCCGTCTCTCTCTCTTTCCTCCCCATCCCAACAGTTCTCCGGAGGTTCCAGCTGCACCACCGAGCCGGAAGACACAGCAGTTCCCTCTGCCTGGAGGCAGAGCCTCCGTAAGACCAGCAGCTTCGGGGTCTTGCAGGATGCCAGGCTGGAGGAAGGGGCAGCCAAGGCAGGCGGCGGCATCAAGCGCTCCGCATCCAGCCCTCGGCTGGATACAGAGGAAAAGGTACGCCTGGGTGGAGGCCACCTGCGTGGGGAGCACGGCATGACATAGTTGAACTGCCTCTTCGGTGTGTCAGCATTCAGCCAGGGTGGCGGCTGCGTGGGGCAGAGGAGAGACCCCCCAAAGAGCATGGTGGCAGATGCCCCCTCTGCACTGGCACCTTTTGCTTTGTTGGGAATTTCTGCCTCTTCCCTCCTTGCCAGGCCTTCTGAGCAGCTAATGCACAAACACTGAAGCGATAGGAGAACGGACCATATTCTCAGCTGGAGCCAGGCAAGAGCCAAAGAAAAGGCCCTCAACAGGCAAAACACATCACAGAGGCAACAGCTGGACATAATAAAGCAACTCCAGATAGTATCTCCTGCAGTTGCTTGGGGAAACAAGCTGAGACTCAGCAGGGCTGCATGTTTCTTAAAGGGGCAGAGTAGGCACCAGGTGAACGTTGTTTGGCAGTCTTTTCATTCTGGGAACAACTCTGGCGTCTGAGGCTGGGGCCCCCAGAGCAGAACAGGGCATCGGTGGATGAGCTCGTGCAGGAAAACAGTCATTCAGAGATCCTGGGCTTCTTGCATGCCTTTTACACAGCATGGCTTTCATATCAACGTGCGGCGTTGTCAAACTCATATGCCATTCAGCCGTTTTTTATTCACACTTCTTACCTGTGAGATTCAGCATCTGATGCTTCCTGGTCTGTTCCCACCCCCCTCCCCCCGCCGCCTTTTTTAAAGAATAAACTTCTAGCCCTTGTGGTTAAAAGTACCCGATGGCTTGAAAGTATGTGGAGAAGAACCTTCGAATCGGCTGGGGTTGCCAGGGAAGCGCAGGTGTGACTTGCAAGGATCAGGGGGTGGAGCACTCTGCCAGGCAACTTGTCCTGGGCTCTCCATGGCAAATGGAAGCAGAAGGACTGTGTCCGAAGCAAGCCAGGCGAGGGAGGTCGCAGCACCTGCTTTTTGTGTTGAGGTGGCCGGGTTCAATCTCCTCGCCCTCCACTTGGAAAAAGGGCCTTGGATCAGAGGACTTGTCTTTCTGATGCCTTGGAGAGTCTCTTCCCACTGGTGACAGGAGACCAATTAGAGGAAAAGTCAGCAACCTGGTGGCCCCCCATTTGCTTTGGACTGTATCACCCATAATCCTTTACTGTTGGCTACACTGGCCATAGCTAATGGGAGCTCTAATGCAAAACTGCCGGAGGGAGGGCAGTATTCCTCAGTGGTCTGATCCAGTATAAGGCAGCCTCATAGGTCCATGCTTGAAACAGCATTTGGATTTCCTTAGTGTGATTGTTTTAGGTTCTTCTGGTGCTGTCATGCAGCTTCTAAAACTTGCAGACTGCTTGAGGGGCCCTCCCAGCAAGGTGCACCCTTTGACTGCAAATCTTCGCTCCCTTATCTCAGGTGGTGAGCAAGGGTGATGCTTAAGGAAACGGCTTTGCACAAGTTCAGGGGCACACTTGTGCTCTTTTCAGAAGCTCCTCTGGGGAACTGAGTTCTTCACAAAAAATTTTTGAGCATGTGCCAAGTGCTTTTGTCTCACGGCTGAGTGGCCAGCGGCCAACCTCAAGGCTTCTGAAGCTGAAGGGAATAAGGCTTCTGAGTCAGGAAGGGGGAGACCTTCTGTCCTGATGCCTTGCATGGTGCTGTAGAGACTGGGAAAGATGGGGAGCAGGCGAGCAGAACTGCTGACCAGGCAATTTAGTTATTTATTTTAAACATTTCTGTGCCTCCCCCATCGTAACAAAGCCTCAGGGTGGCTCACAAAGAATGCATAAATACATAAATAATAACAATACAACAAATTTTAAAAAATTGTTTAAAACCCCCTGGTGCATTCTCGGCTAAAAATTTAAAATCATATTAATTAAATAATTTAACAATTAAACTAAGTTTTAAATAAAAAGGTCTTAGCCTGGCGCCGAAAAACAAATAACGACAGCGCCAGGCGGACCTCTCTGGGGAGCGCATTCCGTAGATGTTAGTGGGAGAGGGGGAAGTGCAGGTTTTTTGCAGCCTCTTCTCCGGGAGCCTCATCTTTGGCTGCCTCTCTTCTGCCGCCACTTCTTTGGTTTTCCATCTTGGATCCAGCAGCCATGGGTCTGCTTCACAGGCATCAGGCCTGCCATGGCGTGAGACGTCTCACTGCAGAGGGTGGCTTCTCAAAATGGGATTTCAGGGCATGGATCTTGCCACGAGTTTGTATCTGCTTTGCCCTCTTTCTCTTTTCTTCCTCCCTCCCTCCCTCCCTGTCCACCCTTCTCCTGCCACTGTCTGTGCATCTGCAGCAAGACATCCGGGAGCTCTTACAGAAGTGGAACAAGAACCCCATTGGCCCAGGGCTAGCCAATAGGAGCACAGCTTCTGAGCCAGCTGGTGACCCGGTAGGAGCCTCTGCCCATCAGAGGGGGTGGCTGATTGCCCTGCTTGCTCGCTTCTTGCCTTTGGGGGTTTAGGCATGTGGGGCTTAGCTTGAGAGCCATGGGTTGAAATGGGAGGGAGCTCGCGTGGACTGAGGGTCTCTGGCGAGATCACGTGCAATCTAGAAAGATCTGGCTCGAACACCCTCTCATTCAGACCTCCTCATTTGGTCTCCCCCTCAGCTCTGCCTGTTGACCCTGCTCATTTTATTCCTTAAATTTTCTTCCATCTGCTTCTCTCCTAGCCACAATGGCTCAGGTAGGTTGAGTACGGGGGAAGTGCTCCGTGTCAGATCCAGCGATGGTTTCCGACAGTGCCCCACCACTGCTTTTGAGCAGGAGACACCCAAGGCCTCCTTTCTCAGATAGCCTGCGCCAGAAAGCAAGCCAGAGCTTCCCAGGTTTCCAGCCGGCCTCTGAACAGCCCCAACTCCTGGCCAGGACGGGAATGAGCCACATAACCTTATCAAGAAGCCTGGGTGGATTTCCTTCAAGTCCCTCTTTACTCTTAACAGAACAAAGAGCCACGCCTGGCCCGGGTGACCCCAACCCCAACTCGGCGAATCTTTGCTCTCCCAGACACAGAACCCCACCGGGACCCACGGAGAACGTGAGTAATGTGCCCCTGGTGCCCCAGTGTGGTGTGAAAGATGGGAAGTCGGGTTTAGATGGGACGTTCTGGCAGTGATTGTGGTGCAGACCTTTATGCAGCAGGGCCAGGGCCAGCCAGGGTGCGTTTTCTCTTCCATGCTGCCCTTGCAACCGGTGTGCACGGCCCTGGGTGCAAAGGTGAAGCCGCTGAGTTGCACTGATGGGGAGGGACTGGGTTTCTCTCCTGATCTCTTGCCACCTGACTGGGGGAGGAGGAGAGGGAAACAGGCCTTGTTCTTGTCTTCTGGGGTACTTTGGGGTTGTGGGATCCAAGAGGCTAAAGTGGGGGATGGATGACATTTACCTGCCAGAAGCTGGACTGCAGTTCCTATCATCCCTGAGCACCTGCTATAGTGGCTGGGGCTCATGGGAGCTGGAGACCAGTGACTTCTGGAGTGCCACAGGTTGCCTTGCACTGGGTTAAATCATGCTAGCTCCGTTGCTAAGATACCATAAATCCCAGATTAGGTAGAAGAAGGCAGGCTGGGCTTTTTCTGGGAAGAGGGTATGGAGCAAAACACAGCCAGCTGGAGGGTCATGACCAAAATGAGGGCGACCTGGGGAACCTTGGGACATCGCTGCTCCTTGGCCTTCCTGCAAGTCCTGCAGACTTACTGGGGGCACCAGCTCTGATCCCAGCCTCCTCCGTTCACCTCTGGGTCGCATGTGAACCGTGCAGGTGATTATGGCAAGGAAGTCACAGTCCTGATTCTCTTTTGCCACCTGCAGTTTGAGGCTAACAGTGCCGTTCCGCCTAATGAGGAGGAGAAGGTGGATTTTAAGAGCCACCCGTGTTACCTGGATGTGTTGTATAGCACTCTTAAGTAGTTATTCAGCATATGAGAGCAGCAGGAGCAGCGGCAGAGTTGGGGTGGGAGCCCTGGATGTGAGAGTCTTGGGTTCGAGACTCTGCTTAGGTATTGGTCGGCTTACTTGGGAGGGTGTGTCTCTGCACCGCTATTCTAGATCCACAAGACCGGATGAATTAGAGACTTGCCTTGTGGGATTAAGGAAGACACACACTTTTTTAAAAATAGTAGTTTGTGCACCAAACATGCTGCATATAGTTGCAAAAGGGAACAGCCGGCGGCGGCATGAGAGAGGAAAAACCCCAAGTCAGTTCCGACAGAGCAGGCAGCTTCTCTCTTGGGGCCGAATGGGGTGGGTGGGGGTGGGGTGCAGAAGCAGCTCACACAGGTGAGAGCTTCTCGGGGGGGAAGAGGGCTTGCTGTGCCGGTTTGGAAGGCCCCTGGGTTAAAAGTTTGCATTCTGGGTAGCCATGCATGGGTTGGGGTATCACAGTTTTCTGAAAGTGGAAGATCGCGTCGGGGCCACCTCTAAAAACACTCTCCTGCGCGTGCTCTCCCATCTCTGTGCCTCTCTTTCTTCTCTCTCTCCTCGCTGCCTCCAAACAGAAACTTAGAAGGTGGCCTTCAGATGAAGATAGATACAGCCCCTGCCCCACACCAGCCCCCCTCTTCCACTGCCATCAGCTCTAGCATGGATCCCCGGGACCGCCGAAGGTGAGGGTTGCCAGGGCCCGGGGCAGACAAGTGCGGAGAGCCGTTAGGACCACGACAGAGGGTTGCAGCGGGTACCCCACTGATGCAGCCATCTCCGATTCTGCACTTCCGTGCCTCAGCCTTCTCTTAACTACCTGTATTTCTACTAACTCTCATCCCTGGGACAAAGGCAGCTACAGTGCAGGGTCCGGTGGGTGGGGTTCAGTGCTTGATTCAGACAACCGTTCCCAGCCCCTTCTGCCTTAGCTATCCAGAGCCCACTCTGATATCAGAAGGAAGGCTCATCTGTGCAGTGCATGGAGCGTGTCTCCCAGTACCATTGAGGCATCTGTTAGTTTCCATGCTAGCTGACTGTAAGAAAGAAGGCCCCTCAGAAGCTGTGAAGCATGGGAAGAAAGCCTTTCCGTACCGCCCAGCTCCCCATTTTCTTCAACCAGGTCATACCAGACCCCAGTGCGGGATGAAGAGTCGGAATCCCAGAGGAAGGCTCGTTCCAGGCTCATGAGGCAGTCCCGGCGTTCCACGCAGGTGAGGGAGGTGGAGGCCCAGCAGCTCTGGCCTGAGGGTCTTGCAAAGAGGGACCTTTGCCTCCCGTCTAACCAGTTTCTCTTGAACCTTCCCTCTCTCCCCACACCCCCTTTGCTTCAAGGGTGTCACTCTAACGGACCTCAAGGAGGCTGAGAAGGGCATGGCCCGGACTGGGGATGCCAAAACAGCCTCAGAGCAGTGGAGCAAGGAGGACGAGAAGCGTGGCAAAGATGGAGAGCAGCCATCCCTGGAGACTACAGCAGAGGTGGCGGGAAGTGAGGGCGGGCTGTGGAAGACGGGTTGGGCTTCAGGCCTTTTGCTCCAGAGCAAACTTTGCGGCCGTCTGATGGGCAGCGAGTCCATAATTCTGCAATAGAGGGGCCCTGGCAACGGCTGTTGGTTGACCTAGGATGGAACGTGTTCCCTTGTTACCATTACATCCCTCCTTTCAGGATATGAGTCCTTCAAGGCAACTTTCACTTAAATCCGAAGTACACCAGAAGGGCTTAGCGGCTGTTGTCCCACTGAAAAGCATCTACTTCGGGCCTCTGTGTTGCGGGTGGGGGAGGTTTATCCTGTGGTCTGTAGTGGTTTTGTTGTTTGCAGCTGTCAATGCTGGGCTGAGTTAGAGTTTGGTGTCCCCTGTCATGGTTCAGTGGCACCCTTCGCTCAGTTCTTTTCAGTCATTCAAAGCTTTGATCCCCACTTTATTAATTCAGTGTGTACCACCTTGGTAATTATTCTCTCTAACTGTTTTTCCGGTCCTTCCCCCACCACCTCCTTTAGGATTCTTCCAGGAGATTCCGGCTCCCCAGTTCAGACAGTTCATCAGTCTATACTGTAAATCCATTAGTGGTGAATTCACAACCCAGAAAAGGTAAGACCTGTATTTAAGTGGAAGAATCATGCTGTTTTACAATGTGTTTTTAGATTGCATCTGTGGCATGTTTAGCTTTGGGTTTACAGCAACTTCTGTACCACTGCAACTTCCTTTTCTTCCTTTATTATCCCAGCCGCTTTATGTTGCTACCTTTTCTCTGTCAAGTATTTCCTCTGGTGACTTGCAAGGAAATGGTGAAGCTCCTCCAAGCTCCACTGCTAAGATTGTACCCATTTTTATGCAAGTATGTGGGGACTTGAGCTAAGCCACTTGTCTTGCTTTGTCTGTCTTGCAGGCTCAGAAGCTGATGAGACCAGCTCAGAGGTGGATTCAGACCTCCGGAACAGATTGGCTATTAGGGACCGCAGGAAAGGCCGGCGGGAAAGAGGCACCAGCGGGCTGGGAGGGAACTCAGAGGTGACTGTCAAAAGGAGGCGGGCTTCATGCTGTCTCGTCATGTTGTGGAGAACTTGGCAGCAGCCCTTGACATGCACCCAGTTGTCCCTACAGATAATTCAGGGAACACAACTGCCTCTTTTGCTCCTGCAGGGTGAGGAAGATGAAGATGCTGAGCAAGTCAATAATGAAGATGCACCTGGACATGGCAGGTAGGTACAGAGAGGGAATATGGGGCAGGTTGAGAAATGGATTCAGGCATTGCTCCCTTAATGACTGCCCGTGTTCAGATTGCCAAAAGATGTTAAATCCTGTTGCCAAGGAAGCTTTTTTAAAGCTGTGCACTCAAAATAAATGGTACAGTTCCTGTTACTTAATATGTATGTATTTCTTTTAACATGCCCAATCCTCATCCTTCTGTTTTCAGTCTATTGTAAATGCTTCATCCAAAAACCTGGGGAATTGCCTTCTCACGTATCAACTTGCCCGTCCACTTAGCTCATCAGAGGAGGCCCGTGTATAAGACGCTGCATTTTCCTTCTGTGAAAGGGTGCCCTGATCTGTCGCAGCACCCTGACTTGGTATCTCCTCTCATGGACAGTGGATCGGTTGCTAGGACTGTATTCTTTTCAAAGTCACGTTAGCCTTTGTATTTCTACATGCTTTTAACAACTAGTTCTCACCTTTCCATTGTTTAACATTTTTTCAACTTTTAGCTGGTTGAAATAATTTTCTGCCTGTTTCATTGTTTGATCATTGGAGTTAAGATTTTAGGCTGTTCTTGCTGTATTGTTTTTGAGTAATTTTATGTACTTTGCCCTGAAATCTATTTTGGGATGAAGACGTCATGTGTGGTTCTGTGTGTGTGCGGGGGGGCAGGGGATCTCCATATGTGTGTACACACACATGGACAAGTCCATCTGCCTGGCATACACATGACCCACCTCAGTTGCAGGCTGTGTGGAGACCCCCAAAGGGCATTTTTCATGAGCAAATCTGGTTGGTCTCTCCTTTTCAGTGAACACCTAAACAGCCTCCTGCCTAATCGAACAGCTCCTTACGGCTGCCAGAGACAGAGCAGCGCATCATCAGTTTGCAAAGAGGAACCTGATCACTATTACAAGAAAGTTAGTGCCTGGCACCCGGGGCACCTGGGTTCTGTGGGTGGAAGGGAGGCTGCTGGTGGAAGGATCCAGACCTTCAGTGTGTGGCTGTTCGTACTCCCTGGGCCTGCGTCCTTATTTTCCCCTGTGTCTGTCCCTAAGCTGTATGAAGATCTCGTGATTGAGAATGAAAAACTGAAGGAACAACTCCAAGAGGCGCAGCTGCAGCTGACACAGATCAAGCTGGAGCTGGAGAGAGTGACCCAGGTATGGCGCACAGGAGGGGCCAGATTGAGGAGCTGAGAGCCGCGAGTCTCTCTGTGATAGATGCAATCTATCTCCATAACCCCAAGGCTGAAATTGAGGGGGATTGGGGGGGGGGAGAGAACATGAACTGCTATCGTCCTCAGCCTGTACCCCTAGGTATGTTGGACTGCAACTCACATCACCCCCAGCCAACATGGCCACTGGTACCCTGTTGTGGGAGGCTGAATAGTGGTGGCTAGGAGAGCGAGCTGTTAGCTCAGCAGGAGAGCCTGGCTGAGGTCTCCCTTTGCGAAAACAGCACAGCAGTAAGAGAACTGTGGCGGCCTGCCTGTGCTCAGCTGCCAGCCCTCCACCCACCATTCTTGCTCACCTTCAGGGCTTTTCAGAAGATTGCTGGCTGACAGATGTGAATCCTTTTGAGCCTGTCAGAATGTGCCAAGCCAACCTTCCTCGGCCCTCCAGATGTGTGTGACTACAGTGCCCATCATCCTTGAGATTGTAGTCAGACAGCTTGGGGACATGCCAAGTTGCAGGAGGCTCCACTGCACCAAGGCTGACTGACCTGGGAGCAGAGTCGCGTAACTGGCCTTCTCTCGTACCAAGCGGTCGTGCATTGTGAGCTTCGCCCAAGGCTCACGGGGCGGCTACTAGCCACGGGGCCTTTTGTGTAGAGGGACCCCAGCTGTGAAACACTGTCCCTGGAATTATAAATGTCTCTCTTCTCTCCTCCAGCTTTGACTTTATTGTGTCACATGTTGTGTATTGTTTCCCTGCAGCGGCAGGAGCGTTTTGCTGAGCGGCCAGCTCTCTTAGAGCTGGAGAGATTCGTAAGTACCTGTTTCCGCCTCTTTTTTTCTTCCCCGGCATCCTCTTGCAGGATGCTGCTGCTGCTGCTGCCGCCGCCGCCACCTCATGCAGAGTGAATGATGGATGCCGGTAGAGAGCCATGGGAAGGAGCCAGCCCTGTGGTCCGCTGTGTCCGTCATGGGGAAGGGAATGACATTACAAAGGGCACCATGGCTGCTCCCTGCTGGCTGGAAGGATTATAGTGGGGTGGGCAGATGACATCCATGTCTGGACCATGTTAACATTCTTGCAACAAAAGCTGGATGGACTACAGAGAGTCTGGCTCCTCTCACTAGGCATTTCTTACATTCTTAAGCAAGATCTGTTACTCTGCTAGTGAAGAATTTTTGATTATACATTCTCATTTTGGAAATGGGACGCCCTGGAGGGATTCTTCAGGGATTCTAGCCTATGCAAGACAGAAGTCAGCTGACGTCTGTTTGGCAGGGACTGATTATCCTTAGCACAGCATAAATGCATTCTCAGAACTCTTTCCTCCTCCATCTTCTTTCCTTGGCTACTCCCCCACCCCATCCCCAGGAACGGCGGGCTTTGGAAAGGAAAGCGGCAGAGCTGGAAGAAGAGTTGAAGGTAAAGACCACCTTCAAATGAGCCCCTGGGCATCTCGTCCTCGTTCAGCCCTAGCCCGACTATGACAGGGCTTTGTTCCAGGTGCATGGGAGGTTTACTCCATGTTTTCCTTCTCTCTGGCAGGCTCTTTCAGATCTGAAGGCTGACAACCAGCGCCTCAAAGATGAAAATGCTGCTCTCATCCGCGTGATCAGCAAGCTGTCCAAGTGACTGCCTTGGCCCCCGTCCCCTGATTCCTCTCCAGTGCAGGGGCCTTACTCTGCACCCCACCTTCTTGTGTACCAGATCCTTCACAGGGACAGGAGATGTACATGAGGACAGGGGCGGCCAGCTCTCCTCTCACCACCCAGAAACTCCAGACGTGGGCTGACCCAGGCCTCAGCCGGTCAGGCACCCACCAACCATGTTTTAACCCATAGGCCAAGTTGGATGCCAGAAGCAATGTCTTGATTCCCACTTGCCCTTTCCCCTCCTCACACCTTTTTATTTCTCCCCCTTCTCCAGAGACAGTATTTATTTTGTGGCTTCCTTAATGTGATGTTATTCGCTTGCTGCTTCTTCCTTCGATGAACATGGGAGTGGGGATGACAGGAGCCGGTTTTCCCGGGGGCCTCGTAGGTGTGGAGTGGCTGCAATGCCATTCGCCCGGCAGCGGGGCAGGCGAGACAACCGAGTCGCTTCAAAGCTTGGAAGCAGAAGGCCAGGTCTGTGAGCTGGGTGGAGAGGAGGCCTGGCGAGCAGGGCTCACTGCCTGCCCGGTGCAGCTGCTTGGCCCGCCGCGTGGGCCGAAGGGCTGCCCTCAGCAGCCGCAAGCTGCCACTGGGATCGTCCGTCCCGCTGGGGGCGGGGGCGGGGGAGGGACTTGTGCTCCCTCCCATGAAGTCCGACTGGTCAGTGCAGGAAGAGACTCCGGCTGATAGGAGGGAGGTGGCATTGAGCAACCCGGGTTTAGCGTCTAGGCGGGCAGTCACCCTGGGCATCGGAGACTTGGATTAAGCGGCTTAAAAATGGGGCAGTTGGCAAGAGAGGGGGTGGTGGGTAGGGGGCAGGAGTGAGTGTGGGGGGCACCTGCATGGCTTAGTCAAAGGGATGTTGAGGATCATGGTGGGATTTGGCTTGCTTGTTTCCATGATGCCTGAGGCCACCTGCTCTGAGGCTGTGCTGAGATGTTGAGGGCCAAGGTAATCTTACCTATGAAGATGAGGCTAAAGTGCCATAGTTTGTGGGGTGGGGGGTGGAGGGAGTGGAAGTTGTGGGACCACAGTTGCTCCTTTCCTGGCCTCTTAACACTGATGGGGATTGACCCTTTCCCTTTCTTGATTTCCATTTGCATCTTGATACTCAGATGCAAGTGTGGCCCCTTTTCATAACCTTGAGCGTCCAAAGTTAACCCTGGTTATAACAGTTGCTTCCAATGCTTTCTGGCCTGAGGTCCAGCCCTCAGGGAACAGACTCTCCACAGTCTGAACAATGGGCCACAGCCTTATGCCAATTCCCAGTCTGGCTGTGCGCTTGCCCAAATATCTCCGGCCCTGATATGGATGACGTGGACTACAGCCAAAGTCCATGTTTGACAGCGTCAACAGTTGCTGGCCTTCGGCACTCCACTCCTCTCCCTGGACCTGTGCCTCCTTGACCTCTCGTTTTCCAGTTCCCTGGACTCGGTTGCTTTCCTAGAGGATACCTGGGGTCTAGCTTTGCGGTTCTCTTCCTACATTCCTCTTCCTGCACGCACACAATCAAATATTTTCATTGTTAAAACTGAGGGCTAAAAGTAATTCCAAGAAAAACGGGTCCAAACTGTTACCCTGAAAACCCTATCTGTGTGTGTGTGTATGTGTGTGTGTTTTCCTGCGCTATCATGAGCCAAGATTCCTTTGCCAAAATAAATAGCCCCTTCCTTTCTGCCATGTCCTCCTTCCCTCCCCTCCACCTTTTCTTCCCTCCACCTGCCCTGGTTCGTGAACTCCTCTCCCCACACATATCTGTACATAACAGAAGTATTTTCTATATGGCTGCATCGCCAACAAAAACAAGACAAAAATGCAGAAAAACTTAAATGTGCAATATCGCATGAGTATTTTTTCCAAAGAAGTCTCTATATTGTACTTGTTTGTTCAGCAGCTCAGCTGCACTTGTTTTAAAGAACAGGGAATTGAAATTACCGTGTTTGAATATAATTAAAAACTTAAAAATGGGATCCTTGCATCTACTGATTTATTAGTGTGCTGTGGGTTTTAAATTGGTGCGATGAGCAATGTGTATTGGGCTTGGACCAAGGCAATGCAGCTTCCCATCTTCCTGTAACTCTGCCTCTTGCTGTGTGGCTTTGGATTCCTTGGTCCGTTCACACGATGGGGCAACACGCCCTGTGAAGATGCTACACGGTGTGGGTTGTTCATGGAACAAGCTGTGGTTTGCCTGAAAGACAACTGGGCTCGCTGTGGGCTGTGCCCTCCCCCTTCCTCCTCAGTCCTCCTGCAGGTTTCTCAGGGGAGTCTGCGGCAGGACACATCTTTGTCTCTCTTCCTTGCCATGACCACCACCCCTTTTATGGTTGTTTCCCTTTTATCCTTCCTTCCCCGCAAAGATCAATTTGTGATCTCCAAAGTGGCAGCCCTTTCAAAGTGCCCAAGCAGTGCACTGGAGCTGCCGCAACCCACTGGGGCACTCAAGGGTTAAGGGTGCATCTTGAACAATACAACTATATTTTAGACTGCAAGGCCCTTATAGGTAGGAACCTACTTTGTAAAGCACCAAATACACAAATGGCCCTATGCAAAAACGGCAAGGGATCTCCAGTCCTTCGTGATCTTACCTGCTTTCTGCATCAGAAGATACAAATCTAGTATCCTACTGGGATTTATGGTAAGAATTTAAGGCAAGCCATGCGGTCAGTCCAAAGGTCGGTCTCATCCAGTGTTTTGTCCTGCATGTCACTGCTCATGGGAAGTCTGCAAGTAGGATGCGCATGCAGTAACTTCTCATGTTCCCACGTCTCTTCTGGAAAACCTTAATTGAAATTCCCAATCTGTATTTCCAAAAATTTAGAAGTCCTAGTTGGTATTACATTACATTTGTACCCTGCTTTCCCTCTTGTCACAAGGCACCCAAGACAGAAAACCAGGTCCTCTTCCTCTCCGTGTTGTCCTCCCAACAAGATCCCTGTGAGGTAGGTTAGGCGGAGAGTCAGTGATTGGTCCGAAGCCATCTAGGAGCTTCATGGCTGAATGGAGACTAGAAGCCGGACCTCTCAGTTCCCAGGCCATATAAGCCCCAGTGTCTTTCATGTTGTCCATGCACCTGTCTGTCCATGCCAGCCTGTTCTGTGCCTTGCTCTGCACCTGTTTCCTATTTTGTCCCTCTAACCATGGTTATTTCCAGTGGATTAGAGACTTCTTTTGTCCATGGCCTCAGCTGAAGACAATTTCTCCTTACGTACCAGGTTGATTCAGAATGAGAGTCCATTTAGCTCAGCTTTCAGTGGCTAACCAACATCCCCCCACCACCACCCCAGTGGGAAGCCGTGAAGGGGTTACTGCAATAGTGATGATTAGAAGCCATGGATAACTATTGTCCACAACTGCCTTCAGAAACTTTCCAAACTGGTGGCCATTACAACATCTTGTGCAAAATGAATTTTACAGTTAACTCACGCTCTGTGTAGGGAAGTCCTTCCTTTTTTCTGTCCTACAGCTCTATTCAGCTTCATGAAAAGTGTTCTGAGAGGAACAACATTTTGTATACCTTCATTGTGTCTCCCCTTACTTGCTTCAGTCCCGCCACATTGTTATAAACAATCTTTCCTTTCTGTCGGAAGAGAAAAATATTCCAGGCACACAGAGAGTTCTTTTTAAAACTTTATTGCAATGAAGGGAACAGAAAGGAATGGTTTCCTTCCCATTTTTCTGTTCACCTGAGCACATGTTCGCACACCCCTTTTGAACCCTGCTCCCGGCTGCTTGTTCCCTCCTCCTTTCCCCTAATTGGCTAATAGGGTACTGAGAGTTCACACTCTTTCCACCCGCCTGCTCCGCGCTGCCCCAACACTGGCCCTTCTTCCCAATCCAGCCCTGCCCCTGGTGGGCTACAATAGGCTCTTTTTGTTCTGCCCAGCTTGTCAATAAACAACCAGGAAGTATTTGGCCCTCCTGCCTACGTGCCTGTTTCCCATACCTTGTGCTATCTGATTTTGGCCCCTCCCCTCCTTTGAGCTAAATAATTTTCTTTGTTACCCTTGTAAATCTCTTTACTCCCTTGTTTCAAATCATCCTTTCACACCTATCAACATTAAGCTAAACAGACCCAGGCATTGTAACAGTTCCCCACTGGGGGCTTCTTCCACAATCATTTTGGTTGCCGTTTTTCCAACTCTATCCTTTTTTGAGGTGCAGGAAGATCCAACACTTTGAGCATCCCATCCGGAAACCAAACTCAAAAATGCTTTTGTGTATCTGCCCTTTGTGGGAAGACCTGTGCTGTGCAGTTGCGTAGCCTCGTGCCTGTTGTGCTGTGCAGTTGTGTAGCCTCGTGCCTGTTCCCTGAGGACAAACAAAAACTATACCTCATCAGGTTAGAATCTGACTTTAAGGTGAGTCACTCGTATTGATGAGCCTCTCCTTGGACTAAAATTAGAGGTGGCCTTTGCCCCACCTTCTGACTTTTCCTCCTCCCCAGGCCAAACCTAACTTTTAAGAATGCCGAAAGCTCTCACAGAAAGGCCCAGATGACACATAAAATCTGAGTTTCTTTGCGAGCTAGAAAGATAACCGGCCTCTTAGCTCTGCCACAGAAAAACCAGGAGCCATCGGCTTCCTTGACATTTGGCATCATTCCAGTCGAAGCTCTGGTCTTGCCCCAAGCAGATGTCCAGATTTTTTTTTCTTTAACAAAAAAATCTGTAGCTATGATCTAGCATTGTGAGGTTACTGGCATGCTCCAGCTCACATCTGTACTGCATTTTACACATAAGTAGTCCAACTGACTTGGCCTTTTAGAACATTGTCACAAAGTTCCTAGTTTCAATCAACACCAATTTCAGCCTCCTGCATTTTACATCCACCCCACCCATAAACCAAAATATGCCCAGAACATAAAAGTACCCCCAAATCTCCATAGGAAAAGCTATATTTTATACCCCCAAATATGTCCCAAATAAAGGAACAAAAGAAAGTTAAATATACATCAATTGTGGCCTCTATTTAAAGCTAAGAATCTTAGCTAAAATCTCCAACTAACAGAATTAAAATCCACTGAGGGGGAGCTTTGCTCCAATTTTTTAAAGTTAGTAGGCCAAACTATTGTTATGCAAAGTCAATGGATCATGCATTGTCATGCAGATTTCTTGATTTGCATAGCCTTGGGAAAGATTAAACCTTAACTACCTGTACTTGCTGAAAGCCATTCTTATGTTGACCGAAACTGTCCAGGGGAAAATTTCAGCCAGAACAAAGGCTTTTCAGATGCATCATTTTTCCTTCCTGAGGCACTTTTCCTCTGGGGTCAAAAAGGATCCCAAATGAGACTGTTGTTAGTTTTTTGTGGGAAGAGAGTGCAGCTTTTATTCAAAACATGGTGTTAGAAGCTCATCTTTCTAATTCTGCCCACTTAGAATTCCTGCCTTGCCTTGACTATCATGCTTACATAATGTGAAAAAGTGTTCCTTGAGCTACCAGGTAGCCTTTTCCAAGCAGGCACTCTGCAGACGTGCTGGACTACGATTCCCATCATCTCCCTGGCAGGGAGATGCTGGGAGTTGTGGTCCAACTCATCTGGAGGCTGCCATGAGGAGTAACAACACCTGAAGTGACATAATTTTAAAAGGCATTTGGAAGAAGTAAATTAAAACTTCTGAACTTAAAAATTGCCTCTTATTCGACTTGCATGTTTCCTGTGCTAGCAAGACAGAGACACAAAAATGTATGGGCTTGACAAGAGATTTATAGAAGTTTTGGTTCCTTGTGAGGAAATGACCTTTTCACCGCTTGGTGGTAATGAAGCCGCGCCCAGCAAAAACCTGACATTG